ACGAGGACTTCGGTTTTCCCCTCGTTGAGTTGGAGGAAATTTGCAGCCATCCAACGTTTGATCGAATCTAAGCAATCATTCAGACGCTGGAGCTTAGATAAATCCTCGGGCATAAAAGAAACGTACAACTGAAATACGTTTGAACTGAATAAACAAAGCGTTCAGTGAACTCTGATGTATGTAAATGCTAATCACTCACATGGAGGCAGTTATTTGTTATATGGCACGTTTTCTGAATTCTGTTTTTTCTGTTTTCATTAAGTCAAATCCTAAAATCTCCCCTGCATGAACAAAAACATGTTTTTGCCTGTCATGTCTCCGTGATCTGCTCGGATTTATTTGATTAAACATGTGAGCGGGCAGCTCGGTGCAGAGCTGCACCTCTTCAGCAAACTGGAATGTGAGAAGTAAAAAAGTAAAGGAAAAACCCAGTGAGACGAGTGAACAGAGTTAACGCTGTGTGAAAATGAGAGTAATATTTTTAGTAAACGTATCAAATGGTGGTACTCCATCATCAGGCTGCCTGTGATGATGTCTCAGAGGATGGTGGCGACTGGCTGAGCTGAGGGACGAGCCTGCCTTTGTCTGCCGCTCGGTGACCTAAATAAGCAGCCATGCGTGGCCTAATGGCAGGCAAACATGGGGGGGGGCGGTAAATAACACCTTCAGTTCTTGTTTGTGTACCACTGTTTTTTTGTTTTGTTTGTTTTGCACAAACTGCTGAATAAAGACGCACATTTCAGATCTGAAAGTGAACAGGAGAAAACTGCAGCTGAACATGAAACAGCTCCTGTTATAACTTAATCTGCTCTTCTCTTTGGCAGGATGCTAGACTAGCACTGAAATTAAGGGATTATTTGTGTTGATAAGCTGTAAATGATAACATGTGTGTCCCACATCCCCTTCTAGCTAATGGTTTGTGGCCATTTTTAAGCCTTTGACTGTCTCTGCCAATAGAGAGAAACTGTAATTATGACTAAAATGAATGTCTCCAGATCTTTGGCTAAACAATCACAGACTGATGACTGCAGGTATGAATCAGACCAAACCTGCCTTCAGCATTTCAGGGTGCGCGACAGAAGAAGTTGACGCTGCTGTTACTCACAATGTGCTGATCCGAGTTCTTTCCAGGCTGAAAGGCTGATGCAGGGTGTTTTTGCAATGTTTGGGATTTACTCCGGCGTCCTGCTGCTGGTTGTCAAGACTAAGTGGCGATCAAAGAAGTGCTCTGGTGAAGGATGAAGGCCAAAGCCTGGTCGTGTTGCCGTTCACTCCGGGTTTATTTTAGTTCACCCTCTGGGTGGGGAACTCCAAATATTATGAAAGAAGGAAGTTGAGCAAGACCCCCGACCGGCGGTCTGCGTGCTTCTGCTAACTCTGGGCTCTCATTAGAAGCACATGTGGTAAGACGCAGGCCCGGTACCTGCCCGCATATCTGGCAGGATTCCAGGAAGTATGGCAGCGTGGAGCGTGCGCCTCATGCGAGGGGTCAGCTCTAGTGGGGGGGTCAGGCGGATAGACTGGCAGTAATTTTGGCTAAAGCCCGAGAGGATTACTTTGAGGGAGGAAATTCAAGTCAAGCTGTTGCAGCAGTAATGACTCACGACAGTCTCGCCGCCCACATAGCAGGACTGGAAGAGTGTTTTTACAACAACCCCAGATCCTTATTACAGTCATAAAAAATATGATAAATATGTCTGACTGCATTCACGGCTGATTCCCAACCAGTGGAGATGTTCTGAGATGACTTCCACGTAATAAGTCACTTAACAAAGGCGGCGAATTTATTGCTGCTAAAAGGTTAACCGAACAATCGCAGCTCTTAGCCTGCAAAGTGGCCTCACAGCGATGTCTGCGACCGCAGGAAAGGTCGGCTCAGATCGTTCTATTGTAACCGCCAGAAGTTTCCTGAATAGAGGCAGAGCTCCTTCGCTAATTGCTACATTACGCCTCACTCATTCTGTTACGTAACACTTTTGTGTTTGTTTGTTTGACTCAAAGCGACTGTAATAGTTCACTTACTCTGTTCAAACACTTGACAAGAGCTGCTTTTATTTAGGCTCCTCTCCGCGTTGCCCTGGAGACAAGCGAGCGTCGAACATGATGGCTGCAGAGATTTTGCCTCGTTCCTCCCTCCCTGCTTTGCACCACGCTGTGGTTTGTTGTTATGCAGCCTGGTAAAGTGACCCCGTGCGCTCGGTGTGGGAGGATGCGTTTGCTGAGCTGCGTCTCGTTATAAACACCTATCTGTGGTTTTACTCCAGAAAGCATTCATTCATTTAGGTGTGACTAAACTGATGTTTCTGCCTTTCCTGTAGGGAGCCAGAGAGTGTCGGTGAGCAGCCTGCTG